GTACGTTGTCGAATTTTTTGGTTGTGTTAGTGAAAACTTTAATATTAACATGATAGTGGAATCAAATTTTTACTCGACATACTGCTGCACTGATCACGTGTAAGGCGGAAGTAGCGAGGTAAGTTGCAGAGGTGTGAAATGTAGTGTCCGATGCTATCAGTCCGATATCTTTGGCCTTTTGTCCACTGACCTGGCTCTCCCGGAATGACACTGGTAAACTACACGGGTGTGAAAAATAATGTTAGCTGTCACACCTGCATGTATTAGGTAACTTTCTCTTATCAGTCGGGATAAGAACGTTCAGCCGCACGACAGATGGGCATGTGTGAAAAACTATGTTCGCTGCCCTGCTTCCAAACCTTTACTGTTAACATAGTTTCGGTGTATTTTGTTGGTTAATAAATGATAACCACGTAGGGAATTCATCTTCTTTTGTGTATCTATCCTTCAATTCGTTCTCTGTTCATTTTTACAAAATAGTTCAGACAAAGCGATCGAGTAAATGTAAGTACACGGTAAGCGGATAGCTGAATCGAATATGGCTTTCTGAGCCGCGACGCATGTGACGTCACTCGCCTCAAAGCGCCACCACGCGGGAGTATCGTAAAGTACATTCACACCTGCATAAAATCGTCTTTAAAAACTAAATAAACGTAAGAACTTTTTTTTCATTACTCAAAAATGACTTTTGGGCACCTAATGGATAGTTTTAACCCGTTTTTTCATCACAGTATACCTTTAAAGGTTTCGATTACAGGATCTTCTCTATACTAGTATATTATATTGACATTTTTTACAGAAAACAACAGAATGAGAGTGCAGAGGAAGAGCAGGAATTATCAGAAGTGTTCATGAAAACATTAAACTACACATCAAGATTCACAAAGTTCAAAAACAGAGAAACAATATCCGCTGTTAGAAGGTGAGAAACAATGAAATTTCCCTGTATTTGACACACACTAAAATAGTAAGGTCATCGAAACAGTAATGTTGTAGGGAGTTGAGGTTTTTGTAGTCAGGAGTCTGTAATATAATTTTGTTGTTTGCAGGTGCCTTTAAATGATAACCTTGTGTCAACAAGAATTTATTTGAAAAATAAATGGGAAAATGAGATGTGAAGAGAGGTCAGACCGTATCTGCAAGAAAATCCTACAAATGCATGGTTTAATTAAATATTGTGTAAAATGAGTAATGATAATTCCAGTATTCAAATTTCAGCTTACTTATGCAGAAAAAACTCCATAAGTTTGAGCTGGCAGCTTTAGCCAACCTATGTCCAGAAAATGCTGATGAAGCTAAGGCCCTTATACCAAGGTAAACAACCAATTCTATTGATATCCTTTGTTAATAAAAACCCTGACAGAGCTATTGTCTTAGAATGAATATTTGCAGTTCTTTGCAATTTTTTGTGGTAATTAGGAAAGCATGATGGAAACGTTTTCTGTGTGCTCTCATTGATATGAAATATCCTGTATTGCTGTTTTTTTTTCTACAGGAAAAACCGGATTAAAATTATGAGTTCCACCCCTTCTTGACATGTTTGGTCTGCTTGAAAGATTTTGAATTGCTAGTCATTGGACATTATAATTCAACAAATATTTTAAAAGGATCAAGTTGTATTGTTTTTTCTTCCAGTCTGGAAGAAAAATTTGAAGATGAAGAGCTACAGCAGATACTTGATGATATTCAGACCAAGAGAAGTTTCCAGTATTGAGAGACCAGAAAGTTGTCTCCGTGGAACTTGTTTGAGTCAAGATCTGATCTGTATTACTTGGGATAAACTAAGTGAACCAGCAGTGATGAGACTGACATTAAATGACAGTGGCAGCCTGTTTAGTGCTATTCAAAAAGTATGTTAGTCAAGCGAGTAAAAGTAGACTGCTCCATGATTTGGATGTGCAGATGCAGGCAGCGTGTGTGCTGAGTTTATCAAAGCAGGTTTCAGTCATGAAGAATTCACAGAACATTTTAGAACTATATCATGTGACACCACCAAAGACCAGATTATATAGGGATCCCCTTCACAATACTGTAGATTTTGATGGACCAAGTTTAAGTGGAGAAATCTGGCTGACTGTTCCTATGAAACTGTCCAGTTTCAGGGGCATGATAGTTCAGCTGTATAATTGTTGCCTGTGAATAGCTCTGTGTTTGGGAATGAACTTCATACAAATAATCTTCATGCTTAAACCAGAACATTGGCAGAAGGACAGATAAAGGATCGTTGAAAGACATGCCAACAGAAGACATGAATATTGTACAGCATAAATGATAGTGAAATTTGAAATAAAGAGTATATATTGTATCAAACCTTTTTAAAGAACATGTCAAGTTTTATTTTATCACTACTGTCTAGCTGATAGTGTTTTTGGTCACTTAAGACCTGCTTATGGGGAACAAGGATCTACCTGGGACCTTGATCCATTCATTTAATGTTGGGCTCTAGCAGGGGTGTCTTTATACATTGCAACACACCAAGTAACATTGGCATTTGGATGTATGCAATATTCTATTGAATCCCCCCCTCCCTTTCATACCCTGATTTTAAAATTACTCGACCTCTCATAATAAGCATGTTATGTCTACCCTGAGTGTAAGGTCCACTATGAAGCTAGATTAACTATTGAAACGTTTTCACGCGATAGCTTCACATGGGTTATGTATGAAATCAAGATGGAGCTGGCAATACCAGAATCTAGACCCTAGGGTTGTTATGTCTACATTATATAAAGTGTTCAGCAAAGCAATCCCAAAACAACTGTAAATGTTTTTGACACATATTTTATTCCGCAAGGCGCAAACATTTTATCAGTACAAAATTCCATAAAAGTGAATTTGACACATTTGAAATCTTCACATTTAACGATTTTGCTTGTGGACATTACACCAGTTATAAAGCACTTTAGACAAAGAACTTACACTGCCCCTCTCAAATAACTGATATTGCTTTACAAAATGTCAACTATTTGATCACTTTTTCTTTTACTCCATGTGTGAGAAAGAATATTTAGCCAAAATCCGCATTCCAATGAAATGCCTTTAAAATTCCAAAACAAAAAATTAGATAATAAACAGAACTCGTTCAATCTTGCAAATAAATTCCTTCAATAAGCATCCACTTTCATCATTCGGTCTTTGCCTTCGTGTCTTCCTTGTAGTGTAGAAATACAATACTGAATACAAAGACTCCTGCCATCATTGAGAAAGCACTGAAGTAGTACGGGTTAGCAGACGATATAAAGCGTTCATACTGGGTGTGTTCAAGAGGACGCACAGATACCTGCAAGTAGAAGGTACAATTAAAACACTGTATACCATTCAGAGTTATAAACTGTTATTTACCACACAATGATGAAGAAACGGTGTTCAATATTACTGTCCAAGTTAAAACGTCACAGAAAAAAATTCAGACAAGCTATTTACCAGTGAAGTGCAAATTAATATATAGATCTAATTAAAGGGATAATAACTCTTCGTATGAGATCTATATTTCACAATAAAAACATTGTGAATAACTCATAGAAATATAATATATTCTGTTTTACCACAAAAATGGCAGTTATAGCTATTATTCTGATATCTGAGCTTGTCTTTAGACCATGTGACCTCCATTGATGGCTATACTCTGTTAAAATCTCTTTAGAGATTTTAACAAAAAACCAAACTTTTTTAGGAAAAAAAAAACCAGGGACTAACTTTGAATGTAAAAATGGATTCATTAATCATTGGTAAGTATGGGAAAATTGTTGTTTACTCCAGGAAAATTCATTTTTTGGCCGAAACGAAGAGTTATTATCCCTTTAACCTAAGTTCATACACTGCTGCACTAAAAATGCTCAGCCCTCCACTAAGGCAACTCAATTCTCTTTATTAATTAACGGATCACCACCAAAATCTAGTTGACCCACTTATGACCTATCCTGCAAACTTCATCAAAATACATCCATACCTTTTTGATTTAGGTTGTTATTAAATAACAAACAAACAAACGCAATCTTCAGAGGTGATAAGGCAGTTCTAATATTTACCTGTGTGGTACTGAACAGATGTGTATAACCAATACGATTATAGTCCACCAGGAACTGGTAGACACCATACACGTCAGGCAGCTTGAAGTCCACAGAAAATTTGCCATCTGGAAAGACAGGGAAAATGTCATGGTTATAGCCAAGCAGAGACAAACCTTAAAAGGAGATTACACAGAAACTTGTGGCTAAATTTTTAGATCCAAGAAAATTTCGGTAGTCCACTGCAGAGTTGTTTTACTAAAGGCTAACATTTTAGAGCTGCAGTGGTTACTTAATATTAAGTACACAGATACTGAAGTAGAGGGCTATTTTGATTCAAATTTTCAGTTTAAACTTCTTCTGGAAAACCAACCACAGACATTTTTAACATAAAATAAGAAATCCAGCAATTAGCATGTTCTAGCTTGATCAACAAAATCTAACACATTTCTTTGGAACTCAAAAAACGAGTAGGTCCTGCATCTTGACAGTTAGTACATTTAAGCTCAGCAAATATTTACAATTCAGAATTTTTTTCGGTACAGGTAACTGGTGACAAAAGAAAATTATACTTAAGATATTATCATTATTATATCATGGTATCAGAGAGAAACATACTTTTAGCCTTGAGGAATGTCCTGACAAAGGGATCAATGCGGACAAACTCCAACTGGACATCCTTCCCATCAAAAGGCACCCACTTGCCTCCCTTGTACTCTTCAATCTCAATAGAATAGGTCTGGAGAAAATAGTTATAATATTAAAATATGTCATTATAGAGTAATACAGCAAAACGAGACATGTTTACTGAAACTGAAGTGTTTTCATCTGTTCATTCTTTTAATGTAAATCTAACGTGATGTCTCTTTGTCAGTTTGTCTGTCCATCTGTAAGTCTATTTTTCACTTTATCCTATACAGAATGCACATTTAAGAGGTGATGTCCCTGTCTGTCTGTCCACCAGTCTGTCCATTTATTGCTATATCCTAAAAACAAATTGCTAGTGGTGAAATCTCAACCCTGCTTAAGTGGTACCCGTCTGTCTGTCTGTCTACTTACCACCTGGTCCATAATGGTGTATGCCTCTGGTGGCGACTTCTCTCCTTTCTTAGCGTGGAAAACCTTGCCGACCTTCAGCACTCCCTTCTCCTTGAACACCCACTGTGACAGACTGGTGGCCACCTGCTGGTTGGCAGACTGGGCATGACTGGAAACAGATATACAATATAATATGTACTGAAAATATATGTACAATATACTGAAATTATATATAAACATGTATACTGAAAATATGTAAACAATATCATTATTTAAACAAGAATAATGCATCATAATATAAACAATGATCTGGCAAGATTGAAAAATTTAATATAATACTTTGTCATAATATATAATTTTACATATAAACTATTTAATATGGGTCTTTTAAAAATAACATGAATCATAATTTCACACTGAGCAGTAAAAACAGCACTGATTTGGCAAGACAGAGTATAAATCATAACTGCAAAGTGAACAAAAAAGAACACTGACTTGGATTAAATGATGATATATGTACTAGCAACAACATTTTTCTATAATAAATGTAAAGGACATAACCTGACACCCCTACTGTTTAATGTAGTCCACTTATCACCCCTATCAATAATAGGCACTGCCACTTACCACTTAGCATGAGTAGTTGATTAGACAGACAGACAGACAGCTTAGGTGCAAGCAGTTGAGTTTATGCAGACATCCAAGAAGATAGAAATTTGTCATACAAAAAGAGGACAAAAAAATTGTAAGTTTCATGTACTTTGCTTTTAACAACTGTCATTGTTACTATCAAATTCATATTGAGTGAAAATTTAGTTTTAGGGAAATATATTGTGGTATTTTAAAGTCTCAGTAAAATTTGGGTGTGGACTCGTGGATAATGTCAAAAGAAGTGTCATTTTTCTTTATTATTTAATGTATTCACTTTATTAATATTTATCTGTTTGTTTCTTTATATCTATATATAATGTGCTCTAGGGTTTTGTCAGTTATTTAAGCATTTTTTATTTTATTTTATTTACAGATTTGAACCATACACACATGAGTATCGTCACACAAGTTTGTGTAAAGAGACAATAAACTAACCGTATGAGTACAAATACAGTCTTCTCTTTTGTATTGAAGTGTCACCCGTCACAATAAAAATTTTCCTTGTCTGGATATAGAAGACTTCAAGCTTTTCTAATGAGACTCACCTTTGTCCAGTGACGGCATGTTGTACTGATGCAGTAAAGAACTCATCACTGAAGAAATCCAGAGATCCCACGAATACTACCCTGGCATTGTTTCTTGCTTGGAGGGCAGCAATCAGCAGGGTGTTTTTACCCACAGCATGGGGGTACTGGAAATAAAACGGTCTTTGTTGAAACTTTTTTTTCTATAGAAAACATTAAACTTCAAATGTTAAAAAAGAGAACTATAAGGTCGCAACCTAATTGATTCATAGAGATCTGTCATTGCATAATTAATTTTTTTAATTTAAAACTGAAGAGGCCCTACCTGCCTCACTGACTTTTTAAGGAGGGTTTTAAGCTATGTAGAAAACAATGGTCAATAAATAAACAAAATTATAAAATTCTCATGATCCAATAAAAATTTTCCTGGCATTTGACGTAGGGCTAGTTTTACAGTCACAGGCAAATATTACATATTAATTTCTAATTGACAGACTGAGTCATCTACCAACTATCAGTCTACCTCCTACCTCGCTGACTTTGTCATCAGGGTTAAAGCTGTAGGCTGTAGAAGAACCGTGAAGGACATTCAGAACCAGAGGGTTGTCAACATCTGCGACCATCCTGCACAGTAAAAGTCATGAGATACAGAGACTATATATTACATTAACCTTAAATAAGAGCCATGTTAAAGTATTTGATAGGAGAAAAAACACCCACTTAAGAACTTGACTAAATGGATAATTTTCTGGCAAAAATATTACATAATTTACAAATAAAAACATTGTCACCTTTAATACATCTCCTCCCTCCAGCAAAGCATTTACCATATTTGAAACATTTAAAAGTACAAGTGTTGCCAATTTGGGGGTTAAAAGACATTCAAGAAAAGAGTGGAGAACTACTAACCCAACTCCTCTGTACAACATGGGCACTGATGTCTTCTTTCCAACCAGGAGCTCTGACTCCAGTAGGTTGTTGGGGTCTGTGACTATCAGGGTGTGCTAGAAATAACAGGGCATATGACTTTCATAGTAGAAAGTAAAAATGTGTGTGTGTGAATGTGTGTGCATGAGTGAGAACATGCACATATAATATACACATCAGAAGTGGACCATTTAAAAAATCCTCAAAAATATGTAAGAGCTGAAGGTTCATAATTTATCAAATTTTTTTCACAATTTTCTGGATTTTCTAGACAATACAAAAGACAAATTTCTCTTTGATACATAAATAACACTCACTCTGTGTGTGTGTGTGTGTGTGTGTGTGTGTGTTTGTGTGTGTGTGTGTGTGTGTCAAGGCATGCATGTGCATGCTACCATACCTTGCCTTCATCTTTGACATCATAGTTGAGATGATCAATGACTGCCGTCTTCTCTTCATCAAACTCCACTCCACACTCACTGCCCAGCTCTCGGATTGGGTCAGCTGAAACAAATAATTATGTTAAAAATGAACATTTGTAATTGTTGTAAATAGTATTTTTACACTTCATAAAAAAAATTCCAACTGAGAAGGAAAATTGGTTTCAACAGTAAAGAGGAAAATGAACAACATGTCAGTTTATGACATTAATCTTTTTTTCCTTCTTTATTGTACAATTGAAAAAATTCTGTGTAAAAACTTGCCAGTTGTTAAATTAATTTCAAAAATGTTCTTTAAGAAAAATGAAAATTACTTTGTCTGTTCAATAGGTCAACAGCATTATTTGGTAGAAAGAAACATTTAGCAAATCAATTGTATTGAAATAAGCTTTGTTCATCCTTCACTGATACAAGTCAAGAAATGCAGCTCTAAACAGAAACAAAATGCCATTAAATCCTTATTTCCAAGCGACCATTTCTTTTCTTATTTCTGAGAAACAGACTGTCCATACTCACTGATAGCAGAGCTGGCAGCTACCAGGACATTGCCTCCACCATCTATGAAGTTAGTGATGGCGGTGACGTCTAGACTGCCTCCAAATTCTGGGGGGAAAGATAAACATATGAAAATAAAGACATGAAATAATCAATTTTCTCTGTAATATAATTGGCTCTACTAACAGAAAATAAATGTCAAGGTTGTTAAGTAGAAGGTGTGATCAGGCAGGGAACAGACTGATCCATTTACAGGGGCGGATGCAGAGATATTTTCTGACAGTCTTCCAAAGTATCTTTGTTGATTCATCCTCATTTTTGACCGTCTTCCGACAGAAAAAGATCGATACCAGTCTATGTAAACTTGAAAATCTGACGGTCTTCCGGAAGACCCAGAAGACGGCCTAAATCCGCCCCTGATTTACACTGGAGTGGGGTTCAATTCTACTGGTACTCTTTGCTGTGAGGCCAGTGAACACTAGTATTCTAGCAAACTGACAAATAATTTTGAAGCAATTTACATACCTACAAGAAAAGGCAATGATGAAAAATGTAATTCTTTATAAATAAACAAATAATCATATCTCCATGACCATGAAAATCATATGACCATGAAAATATTGAAATCCGCTTGCCATGAGACATTCTCAAGTCAAAGCCTTTAAAATTTACCCTAGTTATAAGGAACAGTGACAAGGAAAATCTGAAGATCCTGTACATATGTTACTAACAATAAAGTGTGGTTAAATATTAGTGACATACCTTCCACGGAGGGAGCAAAGATGACCAAGTTGTCGTAGAGAAACTCTCCATATTTGATCAGAGCCAAGCTAGCATCATCTGCAGTCTTAAATGTCAGATCAAATCCACGCTCTGGAAAATTAAAAGCAATGACGGTTAACTTGCACAGTGTTTCTCAACACATCAGGATTCTTTGAATATAAAAAGTTTAAACTAAAAAAAAAATTCAGCATAGGTTTCAAACAGAGTCCGTCTGTGTAGTAATGTAAGTTTAAATTCATTTACCAAAAAAAATTGAAAGGTAATTGAAGAAAATGTCTTGTCTGCATATCTTATTTGCACAGATAACGCTAAAATATATGTCTGCTTGGATTTTTACACATAGTATAATTTCCCTGCGGCTAGGAATCATCCGGGAGAAAACAAGGAAACAGGGATTAAGGGCTGGGGGGGGGGGGGCAGGGTATAGTTTACGGTGCCTTGGGTGTATATCTGCATACTCACCTCTCAGCGACCTGAAGAAAATAGAATGTGTTTCACGAATAGACCAGTTATCCACCAACACCAAAGTCTTCTTCCCTGTTGCATAAACAGAGAAGATGCAAGCTAAAACAACCAAGAAACCGGCAAGTGCACGCGTGGCAGCCATTTCTCGTCTTTGCGGAAGGATATCAATTCTGATTATTAGGTCAAAATAGTTCAACAATAAAAGACAGCATGCACAAATTAAACATGCTATAGGTGCATAAATTGTATAACTGCAAGAAAATCTTGTTCAAATATTCTTTACGCAACCTTTATCAACAAATCAATTGTCCATTTACCATATTTTCTAACTATTTTGTGTAGCGGATGAAGGAATATATTACCACAGTGCTGCTATAAATTGACCAATCAGTGTCAGACACCGTGTCAAGGAACAAAGTGACAGATCGCGCGGTCATTTCGATTTTGATGTATAGGGTCTGGTCTATATGTATGTGGACCCTGCTAGACAACGTTTAGAATGCATATACCCACCCGGTAGCCTAATTTTATGAAACAGTCATGACCAGGCGTCTTTTGAAGAACAGAAAGAAGTAGAGCCTAGTATATAACACCTCCGACACTTGCATGGTAGGCTAGCTATAACTGAATGACATAGAGCCTATGCAGGAAGGAATCTTAATTTTGGTAGGGTTTTACTACCTAAAAACAGTTCCGAATGGGGTTCGACTTCAAACGCCCCTTTAAAGGGATTAAATCTGTGCTCAGAGGTTTAATTGCTAGGCCCCTGCAGCGACGGCGCGTGTGGAGGCGGGAAGACCATCAGGAATCAGCGGCATCTCTTTTGAACTGTGGTCGGCCATATTTAGTCGGCAGAACAGTAAGTACTCGGATCATCCATTCTGAACGGGGCCTCTTCTGATTGGCTAGAAGCGAAGGGACAAGGGCTGCCGACGTATTCTTTATTTCGCGTAGAAGATGTTCGTCATGCGTAGGCCTACTAATTTTTATAGTAAGCCCTATTGTTCTTTGTTATTCACCGACCCACGTAGAATTTTGCATGCACTCCATACACAGAAGGTTAAAACACGTTTTGATCTATTTCTGCATACTTAATACTTAATTCGATAATACCCGCTTTTTAAAGGAGGAAGGTGCAACACAAGCGTTAGGCCTACTGCTTTTTAAAATAGGCATATATATATATATATATATATATATATATATATATATACAGACCCGTAGCCAGCAAATTCAAAAGGGGGGTTCTTTTACTGAAAAAGTGGACCTTTTGCAATGAAACTTATGTGTACCTAGATCAAATTTTACCCAAAATGGACCTTTTCCTGACAAAAGGGTGGTTCTTTCGAACCCCCCGAACCCCCCCTGGCTACGGGCCTGGCCTATATATATATTATAAGAGTTATTTCATGCATAACCTTAAATGACATAGGCATCACATACAGACATATCAGTGCGTGTGTGGGATGGGTCAGTCATGTGGAAAAGATCTCACAATAAGGTTTTTGGTTATTTAAGCTGACATCATTTTACGCGGGAGATGGAGTCTCTTCGGGTTTTTGCTCTTTTGACCATTGTTGTCCAAAGTATCAATGGATTCGACCGTGGTAGTCAATACCTTAAATTGATGCAGCTGTATTCTGTGAACAGGCAAACGAATCAGCTGTACACCCTTTTTGCTAAAGATTGTCCAGAGTTTCTTTCTACACCGGACATCGCTGGAGTTGTTAAGGACATATTTGGCAAGCGAGACGCCGCGGCGGTGATAGGGTCGGAACTTGATATAAAGTTAGCGCTCGCAAAAGAACATTTCGGCCACTTACTTCAGCAATACAAGGAATGTGCAAGTAAAAAGGGTCACATGAGCGGTAATAATTATTTCAATATTACCATTTTATAAAATCATATTTATTTAAAACATCAGGGGCCTGAGGTTCGAAGATCTTGATGCACGGGTGTCACCTGGAAGGGTTCACTTATAAAAACTGCATGCATATTAAAATGACCCATCTGTTCTTCACCATAGCTAGAATTACATAACTATTAATAACGAAATCCGCTCTTCTGAATTTGAATATTTATCATGCAGAGGCCACACCTGAGATCCAAGAGGTGGCCTTCAAAAACGAAATATGATATATATGCATTTGTTTGAATATATATATATATATATATATATATATATATATATATATATATCGATTTGTTTGAATTCGTTTGAAACTTTTAAACTGATTTTTTAAAACTTTATTTCTATTCACACAATTGTCTCTCTCTCTCTATTCTTTGTTTCTGCAGTATATAACTAATTTTTTTTTGGCATCACTGTTCTTCTTGGCGGTGCAATCGAGTTGAAACAAAAAATTATTTGACATTCATTACTCTATCAAGATGACAGCCGAACTTTGAATAGTATGAAAGGGCTGTCAAATGAATAGGCTTAACTTAAAGGTCCAACACGACAAAATAACTATCAAATATGCTTTATGATCTTGCTGAAAAGACCAGTCAAACAAAACGTAAACAAACATGTCATAAATTTTGTGAGGTGGGCACTACCCACGATTCACGTGCAATTGTTGTAATGAGTAAGTTGGACCTATATGTATATTCGACAGGAATAGACGCATGTTCAGTTAACCTCTGTCAAAACAACGG